AACCATAGTGCCCTAATTTATAAGCTACTCCTAGCAGGTCTTTGGGGCTTTATGTCAATTTGGAGACACACCAGGTCTTGGACCACAAGAGCACCATTTGGGCTGATGTATCGGTAAATTACTTTTCAGTACGCTAGAGGACTGGAAGAGTCAACGCAGCTTCCAGAAAAACAGAACACCTGGCAATGTAACTCAGGTGGGAGGATGGCCGGATTGGATTTATCATAAGCATGTCTCAATTTCGACTTTAGAGCTCGAGATGTGACAGCGCATCAGGTCTTCTCCTCTCTTCTCTTCCACCCCCTACGTTTCTAGAGGACTTAGCATCAGTGTCCCTCCCTGCAGAGTTGCAGCACTGAGAGATTATTATGGTCTTAAAAGTGAAAGCCTATAATTTAAGGTCATAACACAATCTTTAAAATGGAGATTGAAATACAGTAGTATAAAATACATAAGGCATCAAGATGTAGCAAATGTCTTTTCTCATTGAATTTCTCCATTTACAAGAGGGTAGTAATACCAAATATATTTTCTTGAAATATATAGTATATTTTCCATATTGATTGTGTAGCTTTTTTATTTAAAGTGGAGCTGGTGACCTGTTAGAACCAAATTCCTTTCAATGCCTACTAAATAAAATGTTCTGGCCCTAAAAAAAAAAAAAAAAAAAAAGGATAAAATAAATAAAATTATAAAGCCTAGAAAAGAAGTTTTCAACATTCTAAGATATAAAATATTTCTAGAAACATGGCAGAAATAAATACTAAGTGCAGAGAAGATCCCCAGTGCTATATCCTTGGCTTTGAAAACAAAGGATCTCAAGACATTCACCAAACTCTAAACATCCCCTTATCCACCTTTTAAGATTACATTTGTGTACTATTTCTTATGACATTTCGAAGCTTTTTTATAATTCTAGGTATTGATTTGAAAACACCAGTTTTTAATACTGAATCATGGTGCAATAAATTTTTCTGTGAATCAGTTTTTCAGCCACAAGAGGATAAACACTGTATGGAAAATGACTCTACTTTCACCAGGAAGGAAATGTCATGGGCTTCCGAATTGGGGTGAAAAAAATATTCTCGCAGCAGTGCCTATTGGAAATTACCAGGGATAAATGTCTTTTTTTTTCTTGAAATAAAGTTCAAGGTAACATTTAAATGAATAATTATTTACCATCTTGTTAAATGCAGGGGTGTATGGCGGGCACCATCTATTAGTATAAATGCTTTTTCTGCTTAGAATGGCTCATTAGCTTTTTTGTAGGCTGTACTGGTTTTGAGAATCAAATTCAAAATCTCCTCTGATTTTGCTGTTCCATTTCTGGCAGCCGGCCAGTGGCAGATATGCATAATATTTCACTGTTAGACCTTGCAAACATTATATCCTGCTGTGCTAAAGAAAACATTGTGTTTCTTACCACATGAAAATAATCCATCACTTTTCAATCAGCACACAAAAAAAGCTCTACCTGTTTTTTCCATCAGACTCAAGAAAAATTAATGGCCCCAATGTGAAAGGTGGACCCTCCATATATGATCCATTAAAGTACAGACTAATCAAAATATATCTAGCATCTGATTTGCCAAGCAAGATGGAACAAAAGAGGTGTGATGAAAAAAATAGATCCTTCTAAGACCCATACAACCTCGTTCTATCAGTATTAACCTTATTTATTTTAAATGTGGGAGGACATAAATAAAAAATCATGAAATGAATCCGTTGAATTCAGTCAATTCAAATAGACACTGTATTTATCTGAAAGAGATGGCTAAAGACACTGTGGACTGGAAGAAATTTTTATAATAAAAATGTGTTTTAAAAAGTAAAGAAAGACTAGGAAACATAATATATTAAAGTAAAATTTTCTTTGGGAGTAAAAAAAAATCAGTATTTTATCAGCTTGTTCATGTCTTTAAAAATAATTTCATGCCTTTTGCAGTGCTGATGTTGTAGCTAGTTTTGAGTGAGGCATGAGGACGTTCCTTTCTAGGGCTCTACAACTTTTGTAACAATATTCTAATCAGAGAGATAGCAGCCATCTCAAAGGAGTGCCAATTAAAAAACAATCCATTTTATGACTTTAAACACATCTGTCGGAGTTGCTTGGACTTCTTTGCTACTGCCTGGTTCTGGGAAATTGTTTTCAATCTCTGTCTCCATCTCTTTCTCTTTCATTTTCTGTCCTCTGCCCCCCATCACTTATCCTCACCCTCTTTCGGCATGACCTGCATCTTACAGTTTAATGAATGTAATAAAAAATGCAGACAATGAAATGTAATGCTAATACTAAGAAGGTATCTAGACTAGTAAATAATTTTACACAAAAGTATATTTTTATAACCACAGGTTTAGGATTCCATACTGCATTTTTAACTAGTATTCCGGTTTCTTTCTTCTTTTTTTTTCCCATCTCAAATCTATGTTGAGACAGTCTTTATATTGGTCTTTCTAAAGCATAACTGTATTTATATCCCCTCTTATAACACAGTCTCCCTTTAGTTAACGTCCAGGGAATGAGAGAATAAAATTTCAGAGTTGGAAGGCTCAAATGTCATCATTTTACATATGAGCAAACAGCTTAGGGATTTTAAGGGATTTGTCCGATGATCCTCGGTTTGAGAATGATAGCTCCTGAATCTTCAGGAGCCCTAGTCCAGTACTTTCTCCACTATACAAGTGGTTCTCTCCTAGAGTAGTGCTTCTCAAACTTTAACTTGCATACAGATGACCTGAGGATCTTGTGAAAATCTACAATCTGATTCAGTCTGTCTGGAATTGGGCAGAAAATCTGCATTTCAAAAAGGTCCTAGGGCATGCTAATGATGGTTTAGAGACCACACTTGAGTTGCAAAGACCTAAGAAGGCTTTCAAATTCTTACACTGGTTTTCAAGGTGCTTTGAAGTATATTCCTGTGTCCCACTGTCCTGTATGAGCATTCCAGTATAGTTATGCAGAGTACTTGCTTGCTTATTGAATACTCTTTGAGTATTCTGACATTGACTTCTTCTCCTTCTTCTTTTCTTCCTCCTTCTCCTCTTCTTCCTCTTCTTCGTCTTCACAGAGTTATACTCTTGTTGCCTAGGCTGGAGTGCAATGGCACAATCTTGGCTCACCGCAACCTCCTCCTCCCGGGTTCAAGCGATTCTCCTACCTCAGCCTCCCGAGTAGCTGGGATTACAGGCATGTGCCACCATGTCCGGCTAATTTTATATTTTTAGTAGAGATGGGGTTTTTTCATGTTGTTCAGGCTAGTCTTGAACTCTCGACCTCAGGTGATCCGCCATTCTTGGCCTTCCAAAGTGCTGGGATGACAGGCATGAGCCACTGTGCCCGGCCAACTTTGACTTCTTTATTTATTCATCCTCTCACCTCTCTCAATTTGCAATTGCATATCTATACTTTCTTTCAATAGCAAAGTTATTTCCCATCTTCTCCATAAAGACTTTCTCATGAGCAAACATAAAATGATCTTTGTGTCTTCTGATTATTTCTATCACTCCTTAAAATCTTAATAAGTCAATAGCTACATATCGAATAAAAGAACACAACACATGTATAAGTGAATAAAATGGCAGCAGTGAATGAAATGCATGAAGTTGTAGAAGGCAAGAAAAGTTGAAATTCCCGAGCTCTGTGGAAAACCTCAGAATTAATAAAAAAAGTTTTCCTCCTTTTCATTTACTACATCTGGTGCTACAAATACTTCTGGGTTAACTGCAGAAAAATGAAGCTTAGAAGACTGTGAATTGTCATAGGTCAAGGATCACCAAAATTTTCTGTAAAGAACTAGATAGTATACAATCTGTCAACTGCATGGTTTCTATAGTAATTACTCAACTCTGCCATTATGGTAGGAAAGCAGCATTGGCAGTATGTAAACAAATGGATGTGGCAGGGTTCAATAATACTTTATTTACAAAGAGAGGCAGCAGCCAGATTTGGCCTGCCTGTAGTAGTTTATCAATCACTATCATAGATGATAACCAAATATATATTAAATAAGGACTTATTGAATCCACAGTTGTGATTTGTAGCTTAACCAACTCTAAAATGGGAGGTAAATCTTAGGAATTGGGCCAGGTCAGGGCAGAGAACAGAAGCATTGGGCAACACAAGAAATCCAAGAGATGTTTCAATGCAATAACCTTTTATGGAGACCAATCCAAATCATATATATAACATACCCAAACCCAATTTTCAAATCCCACTACCTTGACATAAAGGTGTGACACATGGGTCATGTAATTGGCAGCACCCTGTTAGAAATGCAGAATCTGAGGCCTCATTCTCACCCATTACCATTAGTGCAATCTGCATTTCACCAAGATTCTCAGATGATTCTTATGTACTTTATAGTTTGAGATCCCAAAATGAGGTATGTCAATGATCTGCATCAGAATCCTGCGGGAGCTGGGAAAAATATCAATTTTGGTCCAATCCCAGATGTACTTAATCAGTGTCATTGGGGATGACATCCCAAGTTTTAGAAATAAAAATCCACGTTGGAACTCTAAAACTCTTGATTGCGAACTACAAGATTGCTACTAGTTTTTTCTATTCCATCCTTTCTGGCTTCATTTTTAAGCAGCTTTACTTGTTTTATTTGTTAATCTCTTTCCTATTCTCTTTTTTATATTTTAAATTATTTTTTTACTGATACATAATATTTATACATATATATAAGGTACATGTGATATTTTGTTACATACATAGAACGTGTAATGATAAATTACGGTAATTGGGGTATCTATCACCTTAAGTATTCATTTCTATGTGTTAGGAACATTTCAAGACCTCTCTGTTAGGTATTTTAAAACATACAATACACTGTTGTTAACTATAGTGACTCTACTCTGCTGTCATTGTTTCCTTTTCCAGCTCTGAGTTGTTAGCTTTTCTTAACATAAGTGTGATCTTTACTTTTTCTTAAGTTTTGGTCAGCGTGAATGTATATCAATAAAATGATATGAAAACTATTTTATTATCTTACCAGATGGCACCAAGATTCCTCTTGTGGAGATGATTGTGTTTGGGAGAAGCTTTTGATGAGCCACTTGGAGTATAGAAGTGCAAAGACAAGCTCAAATAATAACGGTGATTAAAATGTTTTCTAAAAACGGAAAACCTATTAACTGCATGGCCTTCTGTTTTTGCCTGGGAGTGTGCAGGTTTGGGGTGGAGGTGAATTGCTTCCGAAACTAGTACACTTTGTTCTGCTTTTTCTTCTATACAATACTGGCTCAGTGGGAGAAAAAAAAAAATCTCAATTGTATTAAGGGATATAGGATTTTGGAGCAAGGCAAGTGTCATGTGTTTGTGAGATGTGTGATACAAATTATCTTCTCTCATTCTTCTGCAACATCTTCACCAAAGTCTCCACTGCTTATTATGATTCTATTTTCTTACTGGATTTTTCTGGAGTTAGGGAGCAGAGTGAGGGAAGAACCAGAAGGCTGCCAAAATGTAAGTCATGGTAGACATGGTAGACAAATTGGCTGGAGAATAAGAGGAAAGCTGACATCGAAGTAACATCAGTATCTGACAAGAAGATTAGGGCCACCCTAATAATGTATCATTAATTTGCACATTTTAGGACAGAGTTTACAAATCCTTCTTTGCATCAAAATCATCATCGGTCCTTGGGTCTACTGCCATATATTCTTATTCAACTGGTCTGGAGTGCGACCCAGACATTCAACATTTTTTCAAGATCTCAGATGAATCTGAAATGTATAGCCAAGATTGAGAACTAAAGTGGAGAATCTAAAATAATCCAAACAATGCATGTTACGACAGATAAAGTAGAAAAGTACATACAGATATAATTCCTTTCTCTTTTTTGTCTCTTTCCTTCTTTCATCACACAAATGATTTTTTAAAATATACTTTAAGTTCTGGGGTATACATGTGCAGAATATGCAGGTTTGTTACATGGATATACAAGTGCCATGGTGGTTTGCCGCACCCATCAACCCATCAACCCATCATCTACATTAGGTATTTCTCCTAATGCTATCCCTCCCCTATCCCCCTACCCTCTGCTATTCCTCCCCTAGCCCCCCACCCCCTGACAGGCCCCAGTGTGTGATGTTCCCCTCCCTGTGTCCATGTGTTCTCATTGTTCCACACCCACTTATGAGTGAGAACATGTGGTGTTTGGTTTTCTGTTCTTGTGTCAATTTGCTGAGAATGATGGTTTCCAGTTTCATCCACGTCCCTGAAAAGGACATGAACTCATTCTGCTTCTTGGACTTTTGGCTAAGATCAATTGTACAAATGATTTTTAAACTATTTTTCTGATAATTTTTATTAATAAATACCCAATAAATGTGTTACATTACTAACAAAGAGAGAAAAATAACATGAACCTAATCAATTAGCATAGATTTATCTAAAATATTGTAAACTATGGCTTCTTGATTATTACAAAATGTTCATAAATAATATACATTTTGTAGTAATATAAATATGTGCACATCTGGCTTTACAGTTATATGATTATATATCCGTCTACATTACTTTCAAATGGCCTTTCTTCAGGTTAGCAAATTTCTCAGAAACCATTGTTTTAAAGAGCCATTTTATTTTAGTCTAGGTGTTGAAGGCTTGGGTTATTTTGAAAGAAATAGTACATTTAAAATGTAGACATGCATTTAATGAGTATTCTTTTTTTTTAATTTTTTATTTCATTTTAGGTTTTGGGATACATATGCAGAACATGCAAGACAGTTGCATAGGTACACACATGGCAGTGTGTTTTGCTTCCTTTCTCCCCTTCACCCACATTTGGCATTTCTCCCCAGGCTATCCTTCCCCAGCTCCCCCTCCCGCTGGCCCTCCCCTTTTCCCCCCAATAGACCCCAGTGTTTAGTACTCCCCTCCCTGTGTCCATGTGTTCTCATTTTTTCATCACCCACCTATGAGTGAGAATATGCGGTATTTCATTTTCTGTTCTTGTGTCAGTTTGCTGAGAATGATGTTCTCCAGATTCATCCATGTCCCTACAAACGACACAAACTCATCATTTCTGATTGCTGCATAATATTCCATGGTGTATATGTGCCACATTTTCCCAATCCAGTCTATCATCAATGGTCATTTGGGTTGATTCCAGGTCTTTGCTATTGTAAACAGTGCTGCAATGAACATTCGTGTGCATGTGTTCTTATAGTAGAATGATTTATAGTCCTTTAAATGTATACCCAGTACGCTCTGTAATAACTCAACATTGTAAAGGCTACAGAGAAATGGGAAAGAAGTACAGATGAGAAGACTGAAGGTAAGCTGTATAAAGAAAAAATTCATTGGTAATAAAGAATTCATTAATAGATTGACTCATGGAGTTCAGCACTGAGTCAGCCGCAAATCTGCAGCTAGGATTGACTGGCTGCTACGCCAAGGGATTGGGATGAAAGTAATACGCGAGGTATTAAGTTGGATACTCCAGAAAAATCTCTCCTCAGAGCTCCTCTAGCCTTGGAGAGAAAATCAGAAAAATAATCTAAGCTCTTAATTTAGTATGCTATTACTGGCTGGTTATTTGAAGCATCCCAAATAGTCAAAGAGTTTACCACAAGTGTATTTACACAGCTATGTTTTTGGTACTATGGCTGTTTACTAGAGAAGTCTTCCTAATATATTTAATCATGTCTATATTGACATAATGGCATTGGTTTATTGTACCCATCTCTTTAAATTGATAGCCTTTCATAGAAAAACATATATCTATATATATTCACCAAAGATGAATACACTGTGTTGTAACCATTCCCATTAGAACAGATAACTATGCTCAAAAAATTTCAAGAAAGTTATTTATTTATTTTAACAGCTTCATTAAAGTATAATTGACATTCAGTAAACTGTATGTATTTAAAGTGTGCAATTTGGTTTTTGACATGTTATATACCCATGAAACTAACTGCAATCAAGGTAACAAACATATTCATCATTCCCAAGAGTTTTGTCATGCTCCTTTCTAACCACATTGCACTCCATTCCCCTGCAGAAATCTCTGCACTGTTTTCTGCCACCAGAGATATCAGTTTTGCCTAACTTCTCTCACTGAGAATAATTATTTTGAGATACATCTTTGTTATTGCATGAATCAATCATTTCTTTTCTTTTTCCATTCTGAGCAGTAATTCATTGGATGCACAACAATTTGTTTATCTGTTCCCTTGCTAAGAAGGAACATTTTGGCTTTTTATTATTGGCTACTGCAAATAAAGCTTCTATGAATGTTTGCGTCAAAGTCTTTGTATGGACACCTGCTTTCCTTTCTTGGGTTAATGCAGAGGAGTAGAATGCTGGATTGCATAGTAATTGCTTGTTTAACTTTTTAAGAAAGTGCAGAACTATTTTCCAAAAAGGGTTGTAGCAGTTTACATTGGTAAAATGTAGTACACCACTTGCCTTGTTTGAGAGTTGGTTTCTCCACATCCTCAACAACACTTCATGTGGTCTGTATTTTTAATGTTAGCCATTATAATAAGTGTATATTTATATTTTATTGGAACTTCAGGTGAGTGATTTTAAAGACGTCCTTGCTAGGAAATAGGAAAATAAGAAAATGCATTCAGTCCTCTTTTTCTTTCTGCACTATCCTAGATATTTCAGGTTCAGTATCTATTCCAAAAAATTTCTGTCTGCTCTGCCATGGCCAAAAGAGTTCATTCACCTTTCCCCTTTGACTCTTGCAGACAATTGTGTGCCTTTAAAGGAAAAAACAACAAGAATTAGGAGTGCCCTGGAGGCAAGGTAAAATTTGGCCCATGTAATCAATCATATCTGCTTCACTGAACTATAATGACCCTGTGTACAGGAAGGCATCTTCAGTGGGGCAGACTTGTTTCTACGAAATCCTTAACATTTTATGGGACAGAAAGCAGTTTTATATTTAGCTTTTAACATGCCCAGTCATAACTACTTTTCTTGGACATAAGTGAGTTGTATTGGTGTGCAGTTATGGTAATATGTCAAAAAATAAAGATAAGTACCTCAGTAGAACAGCTGGCCTATTTTAAAAATAGTGTCTTTAATAATTCAAGCTAAGAAATAGGATCGATTGTATAATATCCAACATCACAATAACCAGTTACAAATAGTGAATTGTGGCAGCTGGAATTATTCCCCTCAAATCAAGTAAAGTCAAAGATTCGGAGATAAATATATGACCTTGAGGAACAATTTCCAGGAAACACAAAATAAACAATATACTAGTGTCTGCAACTAGAGAAAAAAGCTCTAATGTTGTAAGGACTCACCAAACTATAATGGTGGCCAAGAAAAGTATTACAAAAGCAGTTGAAGCTTTATAGAGGAAGTCATTTTATCATTTAGTTCTTTAGTTTCTGTTTTCATCGAAGTTCAGACATGCATCCAGTATTTTCTTTAACTAAAGAGTAGGTGGTATTAAGCCTCTGTAACACATGACTTTCTTTGTGCACATTTTCCATTAAGTCACTCCAAACTACTTTCATACAACATAAAGGAGAAATTGGAAACTCTTCAGTCAACCACCACCCCTTAGAAAATGATTCCTGAATTAAAATGTCCATGTTATATACTGAACATCATGACCTCTAAGAGGACATGTATGAGTATCTAATCTTGAGCACGATTATGGTCTTGGTGTTGAAACTGATGATGAGGGTGAAGAAGTTATTGGTGATGATGACAATGACAACACTACTACTAATGATCGTGCACCTAATATTTTCAGGGTGCTTACTCTGGGCCAGCTGTGTATACATTATCTCATTTAACCTTTGCAAAGCTCTGTCTGGTTGGTCATATCATTATCTCCCTTTTACAGGAAAGTTCAGTGAAATAAATTACATAGACAGTATACCACTTTGTAAGCTCTCTCCATTCTAGGCTTGTCTCTGTGTTATCACAAAAATTGATGGGACTTAGTTATAATAATTGTTATTAGCAGAAAAATTGGAGGACAGACAATATACAATTTGGTTAGAGGAAGAGCCCGATAGCTTTCCACCTGGATAACAATCAGTTAATGGATGTAGATATCAGTAATAAGGGAGAAAGCTCTTCAAGCAGCAGATCATTATGCAGCAGCTCAGCATGTTTATTAATCATTGTGCACAATTAAAATGCCATTTCATCCCTCTAATTAAAACAAGTAGTTCCCTGAGGCTAGCACCTGAACTAATGGAGCCTGGTTGCCTAAGGATCTCACTCAGGGAAGGGAATTAAACAATGGAGGAAGGAGTATGTTTACCAAGTTGCCCAGACAACGTCAAACTGTGTATGACATCATGAGTGAGTAGAACAGTTGAGACTGTAATTTTAAAAAGCCAGAGATGCTTCTTTTTCTGAGCAAAACCTGGACTTCAATACTGAAAATATTCTAAGTTTGTAATTGGTTGGTATCAGTATACCTGAATTAGAATGTCCATGTTATATAGTGAACATCATGACTTCTAAGAGGACAGGTATGAGTTTCTCATCTTGAGCAAGGTGAAAATGTTAGATGCCATTATCATTAGTAATAGTAATGTCATCGTCATCATCAATCACTTCTTTACCCTCATGATCAAGACCAATTGTATTGGTTGGTATACTGATATCAATCAATTGTATACTTTCCAATAAATTCTAAAGTTTCTTTCTTTTTGGTATGTGGAATATGTTTCTTGATGTTCAGAAGGAGGATTTTGAGGGATTCTCTATTGGCATCTAGGTATTTGGGAGGCTGAAGAGATTTTTGAAATTGGTTGACTCTAGAAATAGAAGGGTAGGTTGTGGAGACACAATTTAAAATAGGTGGTAGATAAATGGGCTACATGAAAGAAAACCTAGGGTTCAATCCCAGTACTGCTGCTTGAACTGAATGACCCTGAATAAAGTCCTTAGAAAATCAAAGGACTGAACTAGGTAATCATCAAACTTTCTTCTAGTTCCAAAATTCTATGGCTTTGTGGTAATTTGTGATTAACAGAACAGTGCAAAGAGATTTTATTGTTTCCCAATTCCCTTACAAGTTTGGCTTAATCAAGCCTTGCTATTCTTTCCTTCTAATTCTTGTTCAGCTCACCAGCATAACTTTAGTGTCTGATATTATACTTGGCATATAGAAGTTGCTCAATTAAATATACATAGAAAATGTCAATCGGGTTAAATCTACAGATCTCAATAATACACAGGTTTCAGTGCCTTGTTTCAAATATTTTGTACTACAAAGGGAGGAGCAACCCTACATATGATTCTGCATTACTTATCTGAAAAGTGGTAAACCTGAGGGTTATGAGAGCTGCTTTTATTTCAGCTCATCTGTGAATTCAGTTTTGCACGATTCTGTACTTGAAAGCCATGGTCTCATGTTGCCTCCATTTGCATGAGGCAAGAAGCCATGCCTCATTCTTCCCCTTTTCTACCTATTATCCCTTTAGTCCCCTTGATTCCCTGATA